CTCACTTATCTCATATATAATAAGGCTCTCCGCGTGTCCAGCGCTGCCCTCCGGACCACTACTACCGGCACTATTGTGAACCTACTGTCCAGCGATGTCTATCGGTTTGATGTGGCGCTCAATTACGTGCATTTTTTGGTGACCGGACCCATACAGACGCTGGTTGTTATCGGTCTCTTATGGATGCAATTGGGTGTGTCATGTCTGGCCGGTATCGCATATATGGTGGTGTATATACCGTTTCAGTTATTTATGGGCAGTTATTTCAAGCGCTTCCGATCGCTGTCACTGAAGCTGACGGACAATCGGTTGAAACTAATGAATGAGATAATCCCAGCCATGAGAGTGATTAAGATGTATGTCTGGGAGAAACCATTTGGTCGTCTCATAGAGTTGTCTCGAGTCCGAGAGATCAGAGTTTTCCAGAAGACAGCGGTATTGAAGAGCATAAACCTGTCGTTATATTTCACTTCTTCTAAGATAATGACATTTCTGTCTATAATTGTCTTCATATCCATCGGCGGTGAACTCACTGTTGAGAATGTGTTCGTTAGTATAGTATTGATAAACCATTTGCGGACAATAATGACATTGAATTTTCCAAACGCTATTTCCTTCGGCGCCGAAACATTGATTTCTGTCCAACGGATTGAAGTATAAATGTTTTCACACAAATAATTTGTCAATTGTTTTATTTAATTGTTTTTCATTTGATTAGGACTTTCTATTACTCGATGAATACACACCAAAACCAATTGAGTATTCAGTAAGAATTTGTTTATTATAATAATAATAATAATAACTATTAATAAATTATATAAATTTTATCATTTTGATAATTATAGACAGAAAACATCACAAATAATTACAATGAAACTAAGGAAAGCATTTATTTAGAGATTGTTGAAGAAAATAAAACAAACATAAGTGTGAATAACATTAGTTCAGAGATTGTTAGTAAAGAGGGAAACGTATCTCACATTTTGAATGATATCTCGTTTGACGTAAAACCGGGAGAACTGACTGTTATTATCGGTTCCGTTGGTTCGGGAAAGACAGCGGTTTTGATGGCAATACTTAACGAATTGAAAACAAATCGCGGATCAGTTTCAGTGTCCGGACGGTTGGGTTACTCGAGTCAGGAGTCGTGGATATTTCGCGGAACAGTCAAAGAGAATATACTCTTTGGTAAAGCATTTGATGAAAGAAAGTACAAACAAGTGGTTCTGGATCAGTTTCAGTGTCCGGACGGTTGGGTTACTCGAGTCAGGAGTCGTGGATATTTCGCGGAACAGTCAAAGAGAATATACTCTTTGGTAAAGCATTTGACGAAAGAAAGTACAAACAAGTGGTTCACGTGTGCGCTCTCGAGGAAGACCTCAAGCAATTGCCTTTCGGCGACCAAACAGTTGTGGGCGAACGCGGAGTCACTCTCAGTGGTGGCCAAAGGGCGCGCATAAGTCTCGCCCGAACCGTATATTCCGGTCCCGACTGTTATCTATTGGACGACCCGTTGTCTGCAGTCGACCCGTCGGTCGCTAAACATATCTTTGAAAAGTGTATCAAAGGATATCTTCGGAGTCATTGTGTGGTTTTGGTCACACATCAGCTGCAGTTCATTAAAGCCGCGCAACAGATACTTGTCTTAAGTGATGGCAAGTGTTTAGCCAAAGGATCCTATACTCAGCTCTTGAAAGAAGGTTTACAATTGATTTTAAACTTAATATTTAAAATTAATTTCTTATTTATAATATCATATTATAATATGAATTGATCTCTAAATAGGTATCGATTTAATCAAATTCGCCGGCGATTTAGAGATCCGGAGAGAAGAAGATCTATCAAAACATCACTCGGAGTCAGTGAGTCGGCTATCCCTCCGCCGGCAATCATCTGTAGCCTCACTCTTGAGTTCGTGTCTATCGGTTGACGAAATCATTCCTGAAGAAGAGGTCAACGCTGTGACCAAAGATGCGGACGAAGAGTATTCGGACGATAAGCATAAGTCTGGCAAAACCTCTTCGTCTCGGATCTACTGGACATACCTGAGAGCCGGCGCCGGAGTACTACTGTTGCCGACGCTATTGATAAGCAATGTTTTAACTCAAGCCTTATATACGGGAAGTGATTACTGGCTGTCGGAGTGGACTAACTATTACCAGAATCGAGCACTGAATGAGACAAATGTGAAGAGTTGGATGATTTTGGACACCGAAGTGGACAACATATATGTCTTCAGTTCACTCGTTGTCGTAGTCTTCGTGTTGTCTGTCATAAGAACCGTCACATTCTTCACAGTCTGTATGAGATCTTCGGTGACATTACATAACCGTCTCTTAGAGTCCGTAATCAGAGCTCCGATCGCTTTCTTTGACAAATACCCGATCGGAATGATTCTCAATCGAGTGTCACGTGATTTAGGTATTTCTGTATGAGATCTTCGGTGACATTACATAACCGTCTCTTAGAGTCCGTAATCAGAGCTCCGATCGCTTTCTTTGACAAATACCCGATCGGAATGATTCTCAATCGAGTGTCACGTGATTTAGGTATTAATTAACCAATTAATTAATTAATAATTATAATTATTATCTCCGATAACAGGTATAATCGATGACTTACTTCCGTCTAATGCCTTTGATAGCATACAGATACTAATGGATTGCTTCGCTATACTTGTGCTCTGTATTCTTGTCGACTACTGGACAGTAGTTCCCACTCTTGTACTACTAGTGCTCCTTATAATTGTCCGACAGTTCACTTTGGGAACCATTAGGACATTGAAGAGAGTCGAGGGCACGGCTAGGAGTCCAACACTTAGCCATTTGGCCTCAACGTTGAACGGCTTGACAACCATCCGGTCATTCGGTGCCGAAAAGGATTTCTCAGCCAAGTTTGACAGTCTTCAGGACCGGCACTCAAACACATACTTCATGTTCATGACGTCCACGCGTTGGTTCGGCATTGTGTTGGATCAGCTCTGTCTGGTCTACGCTATATCCATAACCATCACTCACGTGAGCGGCGATTTGAGCGCCGAGAGCGCCAGCGCTATCGGACTGACTCTCTCGCAGGCGTTTCAGTTGACGACAAACTTTCAGTGGGGTATTAGACAGTCGGCTGAAGTCGAGACTCAGATGACATCCGTTGAAAGAGTCGATGAATTGCGAAGAATTGATAGAGAATTTGAGAGTGAAGTCAAACCACCAAAAGGTGTTTAAAGATAATTGTCTTTTCATTTGTTATAAAACAATGTAAACAATCTGTTTGTGTCCACAGACTGGCCATCAAAGGGACAAATAGTGATGAAAGACGTGAGCCTTCATTACGAGGGAAGCGATTCTCTAGTTCTTCATAACATTAATCTCGAGATAAAAGGCGGCGAAACTGTGGGTATAGTCGGCCGGACGGGCGCCGGAAAGTCATCAATAATCACAACTCTGTTCCGAATGACCGCTCCGTCCGGTGTTATAGAGATCGACGGCATCGACACCTCTGCCATCAGTTTGTCTTATTTGCGACAAAACATATCAATTATACCTCAGGAACCGATACTCTTCACGGAAACTGTGCGCAAAAATTTGGATCCATTCGGTGACTGTCCGGACGATCGCATTTGGGAAGTGTTGGCTAAAGTACAGCTCCAGTCGACGATCGCTGCCTTTCCCCACAAATTGGATCAAATAGTGTCTGAAAGTGGCGGCAGTTTTTGTGTCGGACAAAAACAGTTGATATGTTTGGCGAGAGCTATACTCAGAGACAATAAGATACTTGTCTTAGACGAGGCAACGGCTAATGTCGACCCCCGGTATGTCTTGTGTCCAATCATTGTGTTATCACTTGTGTTGACATAAATGTCTTGTATTCTTCAGAACCGATGCTCTGATCCAAAGTGTGATCCGAAATGAGTTCAGTTCGTGTACTGTATTGACAATCGCTCACAGATTGCATACAATCATAGACTACGACAAAGTGCTGGTTCTCGACGCAGGAGTTGTCGCACAGTTTGGTTCACCCCTTCATCTCATCAATGATAGCGACGGTATCTTCGCTCAGATGATTGAGACGACCGGCAAAGACATGGAACAGTCTCTCAGACAAACAGCTTTGAAAGCATCGATCAAAAAACAAAATCAAATCATAGATGATTCAACTTGATTGAAATTAACACAACTTATTAACAAATGTATTATAGTTTTGTATTTTCTGTTCTTACTGTACTTTTTGACAGTGTGTTCGTATAGAAAATCTATACTTTATGTAATCTTAAGTATTACCTCTGTTTTAACACAACTTTTTAATTAGTAAAACTTCTTATGATTGTATTTACGAGTTTTAAAATTAAGTTTTGATAATTTATTTAAATAAATATTGTTTATATTTTACAAACGATATTATAAAACTACATATCTATAAGAATTTTTATCATACACTATATAACTCATGAATATTTTGTATTTGTTTTTAATTAATGTGTTATTTACGTTATAGTGTTATTTGGTATAACAGTCTTGTTTTTAATTGTTTCTAAAATCCAATCCATAATAAATGATGTGGAATGAAAATATGAGATCTCAGAGCCACAGATCGCAGGCCGACCCCCAATCACTGTCCCAACCAGTATAGCACGGGATCGGTATTTGTCCTCATACTGGACCAGACCTCCGCCCGAATCCACCTGAATATAGATAAATTATTTAAACACATTTTCAGATCACCAGTGGTTAATATTGCGGTGTTGGTTGTATTAATGCATTATAAAGTACATTACCTGACAGGCCTTGGACTTGCCCGACTTGCGGGTGCACACTAGCCCCAGAAATGTCCATGTGCAGTCCTTGTACGGGTTTAACAGGAACTGACCTTTTCGTAGCCTATCGTCTTCGGTCTTAGCGCCGTCGACATACCCGTAGGCGAAAAGGGTTGCCATTTCCCAGTTATGGTTCAGTTGTCCCTTATTTGGCAGACATATAGTGTTGATAATGTAGTGCCGGCTGTCGTTCACCAAATCAAAAGCCGAGTCCAGTCGGACGAGAGCCACGTCCCACATCTTATTTTCAGGTGTAGTGTATTCCTTGGGAATCACATATTCCGCCATATTTCTGGACTCCTTACCATCTTTTCTTCCATTACCGGCCGTAACCTCCAGTCGACGACCGATACCGCTGTTAACGTTAGGTTTGACGCAAAACTTGTGTTAAAATTGTGAAAATATACTTTAGATACAATTTATATGTTTACGTACGTTAGGAAACAGTGGGCAGCGGTTAAGACCCATAATCTGGTGACCAATACTCCGCTACATTTGTTGGACGGAAATATTATTGATGTTTTGAATTTGAGAAACAGAGCCCACGGGGCCTCTCCGTACTCGGCCACCACACTGTCCGCTATACGTGAGCCCAACTCAACGCCATAATGTGTACCCTCGATATCCTCCACTGTTTTTGTGGTGTAGTTATTGTGAAAGCATTTCTCGTCAAATGTTATGTTAATAATTGTTGGCATAAATCTGAGCCCACAGTCCCTGTCGTTAATACCGTATTTCTCGTAACCCTTATGATCGCCGCGTTTTACAAATGCACAGTAAGTTTGTACTGAATATCAGAAATAACGATATTTTGTTTTATTCAACGCTTGGATTACTTTAAAATAATCGATTTTATACTCACATAAATTGAGTGCTAAATTCACTAATAAAACAATTATAACATTTAATTTAATTATTTCCATAGAGATAACATTAGTTTTGAACAACTGTATCATTTTCTAAAACATAAAATGAATTTAAAATATTTAAAAACCTTAGCAAATTATATGACAATAAATGAAATCACGCGATTTGTTCATAGATTAAGCATAGATTGACGTACAATATTGAATGTCAAAATATAAAGTCCAGCAATTTTATTATATTATCCATTATATTACATAAAATCCAGCAATTTTTGTTCTGATTTGGTCAATTTGGTCAATTCTGGTTTGACTTCTCATTTCGGACAAAATCTCGGAAAAATTTTTGATATTTTTAACATTTATAGACATCATGTTTAATGCAGACCAATTTTCAGGAAAATACTAATATACATGTATGTACAATTATGTAAATTATGTCTTATGTTATTTTTCCTTCTGTTTAGGAAACTAGAAACAAAATCTATGTAATTTAATTAGCTATTGGTTTACATGTGATTTCTTGAAAAACTAGTATATTTTGAGATAATATAAATGTGAAATACTGAAAAATCATTCTTAAAACTAAAAGTACATGCACAAATTTTAATTTTAATTTTTTTATTAGTGATACTATATTTTAGATTCAATTTAAGAATTGTGAATACATTATATCCGATAGTTAAGTAAATAAAAAGTTTTATATCAATAAATTATTGGAGTAAAAGCGCTATTTTTTCAAACATGAGATATGAATGGACGGCACGTAATAGGGAACCAGAGGTCCATTCGGGACACAATTGGCCTCAAACTCGTCGATGGCGTGCGGGTTAAGAGTGCGGGCGTTCGGACGCAACACAATGTCAAACAAAATATTTTTGACAAAACCAAACGAAGCGGACGTTTTGTCCTCAACTGTATTGACGCGACCAAAGTTTTGGACTTCACTCCAGTCACCTGAACCAGCTAGAAACAATATTGTCATTTCATATGTATACTAGAGTGACCAACTCAAAATGTACAAAATCGGGACATTTCTTAATAATTATTAAAAATTCCGGAATATTGCAAGAAATTTCGTAATTTCCCAGGTAATTTGTTTGTAAAATTGAATTTTCATCGGGATCTCAATGGTACTTGTGAAAATCTGGTCGGGACCAAATGTGTCAAACAGGGACTTATTCCGAAAAAAAGGACGAGTTGGTCACTCTAATGTATACATATAACTTTATAAATATAAATGCATACGACATTTACTATAATACATTTAAATCTTATCTACCTTTAATATTATTTGGGTTAATGTGACCGATCTGTACGACAACATCGAGTTTAGTGATCTGTAGGCCATTGTCTTCGCAGGCATTTTGTATTTCATCCAATTGTCGATCTTTTGATTGTGTTTTCAACTGTAGTTAAAATTGTTAAATGTATGTATAATTAATCATGATCATTTATTATGCACACATCTACCTCTAAATTGTATTGACGAATCTGTTCGTCGGTCAACAGTGACATGAGATCCGGTTGTACGGCATAATTAGCCACAACTTCTCCCCCTTTGGCCAACAGTTTGCTCACGACATGCATTAGTCCACTCTTATCGGGGATCCAATGAAAGGCAAAATTAGATATAATTAGCGATACCTTAGACTCCAATGCCTTCAACTCAGGACTCAATGAATCCCAGGATTGGCTCAAGTCTTGGACCAAATACTGGACTGAATCCATGGGTTTGTGGTTTTGTTCGGCAAATGTTATCATATCTGGAGAGATGTCGACTCCAACGATGCGCTTGTGTTTCACCGATTGGGACAACAGGCCCACCAAATACCCGGTCCCACAGCCTATGTCTAGTATCACATCATATTCCCTGTTTAGACAACAAAATATTTATGATATAATTAATTAATGAAATATCAACTAATATTTTAACAATACTTATTCTGTTGAATAATTTGATGGGCAATATTTTGAGCACATTGCTTTGGGTAAGTATTAACCAAATCATATCTGGCCGGTGGTATAGTCATGGTATTGGTCGACATTTTGTTTTGTAATGTTGCGTATTTAAACGAATAAATATTTAAGCTAGCTGATTCTGTCACTGAATTCGTTTTGATAAAATAAAGTAACTTATTTTGCATTTGTGTACTGCATCTTTATACATGTATATTGTAACTGATTTTGCTATGACATTGCATTTCATTTCCATTTACGCCTAAACATGGTAAATTAATAACTAAAAAGTTGTTTTTAATATTTTCACAATTAATTATATTTACTTAAAATATATACGCAAATACATGATTTTACAATCCTAGTTCATTTAGGGCTGACTAGATGTGAATCTGAGTGATTAGCATAATTAAACATGTATGTAGTCCCAGAATAATTCTAATGTACCTAAAGTGACCAAATTTGTTCCCTATAGTCACTGTCTGTACAACACATACAGACAGCCAATAAAAAATGTAAATCACATTAAAAACACACAATATTTTTTAATTAATTAAAAGGTACCATTATTAACGTAGTAACATTAGTCACAATATACTTTATAATTAAATACTTTATTGTTATTTATAGTAATTAAATATTTTAATAAGTATAACTTTTTAATTAATATTTTACACACAAAATATATAAATAAATATTTCAATGAATAAATGACAAAAAATAAATGCAATGAAATACACAATAATTATTAATAAATGAAATCAATGGCACAGTAGTGGCCCAGACGTGGCGCCTACACCTCAGTCGTGGGCACATATACTGGCTTATGGTTATAGCCATTCATTACAACCTTCTCCTCCGTCCGACCCAGCGATGAGACCCGAGACGAACGGCTCGAACGGCCAGAACCGCCGCCAATCAACGGATTGGACGGCGGGGTCGACGCCGGAGAGCCCGAAGAGGTCGACCCGTTCAACGGCAGAGAAGGCTTGGGTCGTGTGGGCAGAGGCGGTGTTCGGGACTTGTTTTTCTTGTTGGGCACCGCGTATATGGCGTCCGGATGTGTGACCGGTAAGAGTGACTTGGGATCAGTGCCGGCGGCCATATTGTTGGGCCTGTAGTTAACCATCCGGATCTGATGGGCGTACACCGACGCCACCACACCCACCAACACTGGCATCAAGTATGAGCAGACACTGCCGCGTATGTATTTGCCGGCCGCCCCATACAGACCGCACAAAAACATTAATATACTGTAGACAATGGACACGCCGTAGTGCTCCTGAAGGGCGCCAATAATACCCATACAATTGAACACGTTCTCAAAGACCAGAAATGTGATACACAGCCGCTCCCATAGCTCGGCCCTATCGCCCCGACCTCTGTCTCCCGTCCACCGGTCGTAACCATTGTTGCGTTTGACGTAATCGACGGCATTCTTGTTGTAAATGCCGACCCATATTGTGCTCAATATATTCATCACAATCATGAATAGTAGCGCATATTTAGTGATTGTAAAGTTTCTG